TAAATTTCTTATAAGTTGTATGATAATAGTTATATTTTAATGTTTAAGAATTGTATCTAAATTTTGTGAATTATCTTCAGACTTTTCATTTTGTATATTTTGAGTCTTATTATTTTCCTGTTGCATACTTTCAGTTTCTTCAAGTTTCTTTCTCTTAGCTTCTTCTTGTACTTCTTTAAGTCTTGCAAGTCTTCTTTGAACAGCTTGTTGTCTGTTTCTTTCTATACGCTCTTTTACTTCATCACTTAATTGTGAAGAAGTAGAAGTAGTATTTACAGACTGTGAATTTTTAACATTGCACTGCGATAACAATTTATCAAATGCCTCATTATTGTTTTGTGATGTGTCAGATATTGATGATTTTTGTATAATATGTTTTTGTTTTTCTATTTGTTCTGCAATTAATTTGTCAAATTCATCAAATGGTTCATCTTGTTCTTTATCTTCTTCTGCATCAATTATATCTTGATCAGTAACATCACTATCATTATTAATCATGTCTAGGCGATATCTTGTTATGAACACTTGAAGATCCTTTTTATTACCTAATTTCTCTAATTTTTCAAGAAAATCATCAAAGTCCAATTTAGGAAACAGTCTATGCCCCCAATGCTCCAATCTTTTCATAATTCTATCCAAATCCATCTTTTCATGTCCTTTTCCATGAAACTTAAAACCTTCAAAATATTTTTCAATAGTATGTATTCCTTTAGGACCTTTCAAACGTTCTGTATTTAATTTAGGTACAGGATTCCTTACTATATGTGTTTTAGATGTTGATGGGTCAATTCTTCTTTTTGCATTCTTTTCTTCACCTTCTTGATCTTCAGAGTCTGAACCTTCATTTCTCTGAATATTACCCTGATCACCATCTGATTCTCGATTTTCGTATTCAGCTATTATATCGTGTTCATCATCTTCACAATCAGAAGTATTTGACAATGTTGACATGCTCTTATCAACAAGTTGTACCCCCACTTCCTCGTATATACACGAAGCGATAATTTTTCGCTTAACATCAAATTTCTTAGGAAGCCCTTAAATATAAACGTTCGAGGACAAGAAACTATCGAACCTTCTTCTTCTTACTCGAGCAATATTCGTTCCTTGGTAATTGTACAATTGTAACAGTAATCTTGCCGGTCAGTGGTATGTAGGTTATGTTTTGTAACAGGACGCATTTACGTTTCATTTAAAATTCAGTATCATCTTGAGAATCGCAACTGGTGTTACCCTTTTCCATAAACTTATCAAATTCACCACTCGATTTATTCATTCTTTCCAAAAGCGATACCAGTAACTTTTTATTTAATCTATCAGTTTGCGTTATTTCCCGCACAACGGGTTCACAATTTTCAATCGGAGGGCGTTCCGTTGATTGCAGTTTCTCCAGAGTGTCATTTTCTTCTTTCATCGGTGTTCCTGGCATTTTGATAGTTCAATTAAAATATCACGTTTAATGATCACAAACTTGATTTTATTTAGAACGATATTAGGGGATCAGTAATAATAATCTTACGCGTAACAACAAAATCCTTTAACCTAGACGTACTATCATCTTCTGCGCATGTAGATATCACGAAACATTTTTTACGCGCCAATATCCTATCATTTTAAAAAATTTAATCAACTGTTCCAGTTAATCAGTAGATATTTTCTTTAAATACCAAACGATGAAAAGTGCAAACGTGTAATATAAAATTATAATATTTAGAGTATAAATCTATTAAGTTTTTAGTGTTACGTGACAAACGTACCTTGAACTTTTATAAGAAAAATCATTATAAATAAATAAAGTTTTTAATTTAAACAACAATAAGGTGTAAAAAACTGGAATATTCCAAATGTTTCATATGGTGTATTGAAACTTCTCATTCGTTGATATCAATGGTAAATTATTAAATAAGTTTGAATTTAATATAGTAATATGAATTTATGATATAGAATTTTAACTTAATACTTAATATACATATATATCAAAAGAAGGAAGAAACATTTTTATGTCTTCTTTTTTAATATGTTTAACTAATGAGGTTTCAAACACTAGTTTGTTGTACCTTGTCCTTTAAGCTAAATTACCGCGTTAGAACGACATAAATAATAATATGCGAAAACGTTTTCGAAATAGCACTACCGATGACTGCGGACCTATTTCCATATAACATTATACGTCCAACTCCCCGCCACATAGTACGGAATTGCCATCGTCCGTTTCGCGTAGCACAATCGCATCAAACAGATCGTAAGTTGACTGTGGATTAGTGCGACAAACTCAGAGTATCATCAGTATCGTAAGAACTCTCGTGCCGCACAGAGTTATCGGACGGAAAGACATTTAAGTATAACTTTTAATTACGGTTGTGAAGTCACCATAAAATTGTCGTTCAAGAAGGGACCAGGTACGTTTCAAAATACGTCAACGTTGTTTGTGAAAAAGTTCAGTACAGACATCATGCTCGAACTGAAGTTTGAGTTTTTCTTATCTTTGGTGTGAAGTTTAAAAAAATTCGAACCTAAACAAACACTGATAAGTTAATATTTACGTGTCTAAGTAATTCATTTAATTTCACTGCACTGGGAGTTATTAGATAAATTTAATAATTGTATTTTATCGAACACGATATTTTATTGAATGGTACTCGTCGTTTTGTGATACACCAAGTTCATAAGTAAAGTGAATTAAAAATTGTACAGCATGAAGAAACTCGTACTGATTTTAAAATACTGTACGGATTCCGATGTGGCGTGATCACCGGTAACGGGTTGTAAATTTGGTCCCCACTTTCCAGCGGTTCACAACTGATATTTCATTATTTTCAATATTACGATTTTTAGCACATGAAAATAAATCTATACATTCAGTGTGCGTGCAAAGTTTGACAGATGTATCAAAGTAAACTGTATTAATTCGAAAATTTACTTATTTGTCTTCAAAAATAATGCAAATCGCCTATTGGTGCATTCAGTTGCGTGGAACCGTATGTTCAGACTACTCTGAGAATCAACCAATCACAAACCTCAACGTCAATGGAAAAACTCGATGATTCCACCTGCCACACATAACTGACATTTACTCTAGATCACATGTGTCGCAGTATAATGGGAGGTCATGACTGAAAATCGTAAAACGTGTTCATGGTCAACGTGTGTTTACTTAGTACTCTTTTTTCTTTTTCTTTCTGTTTAAATTTGCGTTTTTAAGTGAATCTGTCATTATCGCAAGAACCATGTGGAAACGATGTAATCAATTATTAATTTTTTCTTTTTATTTTTCTTTCTTATTCGATAGGATTAAAATGTTAATAAATTCCGTGAATATTTAAGGAAAATACAATGTCTTCACAATAATTCGTCATTCATCGTGTTACTAGGAGTGTTATGTTTACGTGGATATAATGTAAAAAAATAATATAGATTTCGGTATATACGTAATCGTTCAAGAAACATGTTAGGAATCACCTGATTTTTCATTATCGCGTCATAATAGAAAACTATCGAACGTACATCAAAACTGACACATAACTTTCTTAGATAGTCTTTCATAGAACATCACAACACCTTTCTTAGATAGTAAAACGTGTATAAATGACGTAAATTGTTGATTTAATGAAATTCATACATTATCCTATTCACGAAATTTGTTTAGTATAATATATTTTATGTTAATGAAAATCTTATCATTTAGTTTTTAACTAAGTTACATTTACGTTACTAAGTTACACTTACGTGTTTTCGTGTAAAATTTTCAAAGTTTATTGTTTCTACTAATTGAATCGATGTTATCATTAGTTGACAATAGTTCTTTTCTAAACCAATGGGTGAATAACTTCTAGTTTTCTACTTAGAAACTTTGCATAATTCAATTCTCGCAATTATCTTACCAGTTTAACGTCTTTTAATTATGTCATGTTAAAAAATGTACATATTCCAAAATAGCATCACTTTTTACTTTAAACAACATATACTTTTTGTTAAAAAGTTCGATAATTATCCAATATTGTGTATTGATATTGTTGTTTGCAGAGAGGAATGAGTTATTTAAAATTAAGAAAAAAATCAGCAAAAGTTTAAATTCTGCAAATAAACAATTATTCCATAAGAAACATCACAGATAACTTTATCTGCGTGCAGATATCGAAACGAAGTATTTTCAATATTTTATCACAGTAATTATTTCAGATTTAAAAGGAACATTTTATTTACTTATGGAATATGTTATTTTTGTCAGATTCACTATCGGACGCGTGATAGTGGTAAAAAATCATTTTCTGTCGTAATTTCATAAAGCAAATTATTCGAACGCGTAGACCCACTTTACGTCCTCAAATGAATCACTGACGTTTAACGGTACCATTCTCGACAGAATGCAGAGAAAGAAAATCACAATGGAAGAAAACTTCTGTCATGAAGCTGTCGATAATGTTACTCTCAGCTTTCCATTATCATTTTCCACGAATAATTCTTTGCGAGGTTCATTAATTTATTTATAAAATACACCAATTTGCATGGTACAAAGTAACCTTTTTTCAATCAATCACTGAATAAGTATACCATTTCACTTAATATTTAAATGAAATTACAATAAAGAAACAACAGATACTTCAAATGCAAATATTAAATTTCGAACCATGTAGTTGCAAGTTGTCCAGTTTAACTCTTCTGTTTAAAACAAATTGTTGCATGCATTAATTTTTTAAATGCAAAAAGTTTGAAAGAAATATGGATGTAACGAAGACATATCAATTGAATTTTGTTTTAACAAGGCTTATATTAAGAACACTATCATCAGGAAATGACATCGTTAATGATTCTACACATTTTTCATAGGTATAACACACGAAAGTGGCAATTCCCTTATAATTACATATGAATGATACGATAGCATTCGTTGCGTAACACAAAAAAGCCAAGTATTATCTTTTTTCGAGCGTCATCTAATAGCATAGGTGTTCGTTTGCATTTTTTACGTCGCTGCATTGACTATGTAGAAAAGTTATTACGTTATGAATATCGTACACTGAGTCACACATATCTTTGCCGAAACCGTAAAACTAATACAAACGTACACCGGCTGTGTGGATCTATGTGAAATGGCGTACGATGTGTTCGATGGCGAATGGTGTACGATACCATTTCACATAGAACTATCGCCGCTATGCGTTTGTGTTAGTTCTAGGGTTTCAGCAAAGATCAGTGAAACGCGTTGTCAGTGCATTCTTATTTCATGTCAGTTTTTTAACCGTGTCATATTGTCAATCCCGATATATGTTAGAATTATGCTGTTCTCTTGTTAGGGTTTACATTTGTACATTAACCTTTAAAGTCTTTTCTTTTTGTATAAATAATCTATAAAAGCATCGTTTTACACTTAAACGTGCCGCCAAAAGGTGGTGTGATGTTTTGCTATTGATTTTCGTTGGTCGAACAGTTCTCTCGTAGTATTCCAGGAGGCCAGTAAGCTTCAAATGGTATCAAAATGGTTATTCTACTTTTTAAAGGTACTTTTTTACAATTGAAATAGTTTTAGTTAATTCTAGATCGATCAAAAAATTGCATAGATTAGATTTGTACGTCATTTCGATGGACAAACAACTCACAGTTTAACGATATCAGCATCGCCAGGGGTGGGAATGTCAAGAGCACATTCAATCGCATAATTTTAGAGTTAACGATGCGTGATACACGTTTGTTTGTTCATTGTCAAAATATGCTTGTTCATTTGCAAATTCAATTCAAGATACTGCAAATCTCTTGGTGCATCTGTTCCAACTTATCTTTAACGCCTTCTTTTCGAACCTTTAACTTTGCATGAATCTTTATTGTTGATATTGCGGTGTGGTTTTTAACGATAAACAAAAAATATAACAATAAAACATTATCATCACGTGTATGTTATCAATTCAATTTTTTTTTTGTTTTCGTTTCTCTTCAGGGGGAGGGGTAAGGATATGTACAGGAATTACATCTCACTTTCTTGGCACACATAGTGGATTACGATGACGTACTATACTACGGGTAGTGTTTAAATAAATAAATAAGATTATATTCGGGGCGTAATGTGTTATCGTGACAAACGTATAAAAAAATTGCAAAGAGTAACGAACAGATAATATTAAACGTTACAACATACATGTGAAATTTTGCAAATTATGAATATGTAATTAGAATGATTCCGGAAATATTCGATTTACGAGTGTAGAAAGATTAATATCGATTATTCCAACGAAGAAGCTTTTACGACTATGTAGGATAGTTTAAAATTGTGTCTATTACAAATCACTTATACCAACGATGCGGAACAACGAGCAGTTTAACGTTATTGTATCAACAGATCGAACAGTTCGATAACTTTGTGTAACTTGTAACGAGTTTAATGATATATATTCTATCGTTTAACATTCATGATCACTGACCTTCTATCAAATTGTCAAGGTCATCGTTTATATACAGGGTGTCCCATAATAATTTATCCGCGCAATTATCTCCCGAACTATTTCGTTATTCGAAAAATGATTCAAATAGAACTTATCTTGTTTCAATGGGGGGATATTATTATGAACACAGCTCTTGGCTAGGTGGAGGTCCCTAGACCTTAGTTTTTTTTTAATGAAGTTACATATTTTCGTTTAGCTAAACGTGCACAGTCCATTCCTAGACAAATTCATTGACTTACGACGTTCAAGGTCAGTTAATGTTACTCAAAATTGACTTTCACTAGATTGCCAGAGGACTTTCTTTACTTTGTGTACTAGAGAAAACGATCTTAGGCACTGATACACTAATTGATTCTACCTTTGACACGACAGTTCTACGTCCTAAAGCAAATCTGACTAAAGTGCTGTAAGGAGGTTTAAATAACCAATGCGTGATTTGAAATAGAATGTGTTTTATTGCGTTTCGCGTGGGTTGCTTGGTTAGATGTCTACAGTGTGACTCTCTAAGCAACGAGGAAAGCCCTTTTTCCTCGTTGCTGCCAATACGCCTCGCCAAGGGCCTCGAGGATTGATATGCAGGGCTGCTCACCCGAATGCCCGACTTGACGGTGCCTTAGAATTTCCTTACAGTGCGTTTCGCTATATTCCTTCGTATTGAAAATATTGAAAGAAATTTTTTTTTTTAAATTGAACGACAATCAGATATGAATTTAAGGATCATGTGTGAATAAAATAAATCGTTACGACATTTGACTATTTTAATTTTTTAATTTTTCAATTTTCGTTCGTTCATTCAACTCTGTTATTTATTATTTAATTCTCTCTTACTTCTTAATATTTTATTTTATTTTCCTTGGTGGTAAATACATATTTCTACGGTAGAAAAACTGTCTTCGGGCCTCGTACAGTGAAAGTAAATTTTGAATAGTATTGAATAACTTTGAATAGCGCGTTAAATGACAAACGTATCATAGGTCAATGAATTCGCACCGGAATGTGCTGCACGTCCTAGCTTCAACGAAAGTATATAGTTTCATTTGGAAAAATAGCAGAGGTCACTTTGAAATCTCTGTGGGCAATCGAACCTAGCCAAAACATGCTCGTAATATGATGTCGAAGCAGGGTAAGCTCTATTTGAAAGATTTTTCGAACAACATGTACATAATTCCGGAGATAATTCCCGTGCAGAGATTACAATGATTACTTCATACACACCCGTATACTTTGTGTACATACATGCAAAACTTTTACGTAATACCACACTGGCTGTTAATATGTATATCTATCAAGTGTACTTTGCTCGAATGTCGTACGATTCCTCCATGTAAATGAAATACGGAGAAAAAGTAACCACGGAAAATCCGATGAAAATAAAAACACATGTATCGTAAGATTGTTTTCACTTCTACAAAAATTAATATCATTCGTAATTACATTGACGTACGAACTGTTCTTTACGTTCGAACGACTGTGAACAATTGTAATTGAAAACATTCAATACTAGGCAAAATTATTTTTTACAATAAAAAATCCGGCGATAAAAATGTTGGGAAGGGTTTTCTTTCCTTTCGTTCCTGTTCACGACCGCGCATCGGTTTCGTTACGTAAATTGAACTTCCTTCCGCATCTATTTGATCCCTTATTGATAATAGACGAATAGAAAATTGGAGCGTTGCAGAAATTTCGTACGATTATCAAAATTTGAATAAAAAAGTATTGCATTTCGATGAATGAAAATTCGACAGAGAAATTATGCTACTTTTACTACGTGTATCATTATTATTATCGTCACGATGTTTTCTCTATCTCTTTTCAAATTGAAACGTTTCGCGCTTTAAAGGCATATCTTAACGGGTTGCATCGCGCGCGATCGTGTAATTATGAGATGAATGTATCGAGCAAATGAATCACTCGCGTTATTCAGGCATAGAGCGGCACTGATCGGTATAAAGGAAGGTGCAGAGCACTCTGACACTTTAATTTCGTTATAGTCCCGAGGGACATGTTATATTTGTACTGCTTCTCTAAACGAGAACACATAATTTCATCTTCCTAACAGTTTACTATAGTACGTACGTTCAGAACCAATGGAAAATTCTTCTCGTATTCGATCTATTTCATCTACGAACACTTTCATCATCAAAATCATTGCCGAACATCTGAATCATCACTATACACGAGCACCGTTCATGATAATATTTATCAATCGCGAGAGAAATATCTCCTGGATGACCTTTAGTTCCTAGAAAGAAATTCATCAAAATGTAACGTTACAATTTTTGTCGGCAATTAAAGTAAATATATGTATTCGTCGTCCCGAAAAGATTAACATTTTTACTATGATTATCATATTTACATTCGCCGTTATACTTAAAATAGTTACGACGTGAGATCGCTTATTTAACACGTGATAACGATACACCTTATACGATGTATATTAACCATCCGTAATTATTCTTTTCTGTTCTTTTCCAGCAAACGTTAAATTTTCATTATTGCTAATTGTCGAATCGCTCGATTCCTTATTACCGAGAAATATTATTTCAGATAACATGACCGCAGTGCAGCCAATCCAGTCCAATGGAATTATAAAAGGGTTTACGATAGACGAAAAGGTACGACGATTAAAAACAGTAAATAAATAACTTTAATATTATCTGAACTGATAAGGTAAGGAAGAAGTTCATTCACAGTACACGAAGGACAATAGTGTAATTTAAGATACGAATGTAACGTACGATGTTGTTTATAATTAAATCATACGTTTCTTTGTAATACAGGGGATAACGGATAAAGGTTCCTATTATGCGCCTTGTAGCGAAACAGGACTCGATGGTGAGTTACCGGTATTTTTCACTTTAAGAAATCGACAAATATATCTTACGTTTATTTATTTGTTACTTTCATAGGACCTGATCAAGTGTTGCCCAGTGATACTCAGACGAGTTCGAAACCAGATGGTCGCGTGCGAATACAATTAAAAAAGGAAGATAATGATTCGAGCCCCCCCCTATCAGTTCCTGGATTGCTGTCAAGTATAGCTAAAAAGCATCCTAATCATGTGGCTCTTGTGTCAAGATGTGACACCATGGGTAAAAGAAAAAAATACACTTACAGGTATATGAAAAATCTGTAAAGAAAGAATCGAAATGTATTTAATATTAAGTTATTTATCTCATTAACTTATGCTTCCAGAGAGTATGAACAGAATGTCAGAACTGTGGCCAAAGCTTTCATAAAATTGGGCTTAGAACGATTTCATTCCGTCTGCATTCTAGGATTCAATTGTCCAGAATGGTTCTTCTCAGATCTCGGTGCTATATACGCAGGGTAAAAACATATAAGTTTCTGAGGAGGATTCTTCGTTTTTACATTATTTTAGTTAATGTTTCATACGAAATAATTTTTTTCTTCTAGAGGATTCGCTGTTGGAATATACACTACCAATTCACCAGAAGCATGCCAATATTGTGCTGAAAACAGTAGAGCGAATATAATAGTTGTCGAAGACACGAAACAATTGGAAAAAATATTACAGATAAAGCACAATCTACCCCATTTGAAAGCAATCATCCAGTACGAAGGCACACCAAAAGAAAAAGACGTTTTGAGTGTAAGTTATTTTACGTACGATATTGATATTCATTATTAAGCTGCATTCGATTAGAAATTTTGCTTTCCAGTGGAATGATTTAATGAAAATTGGAGAACAAGAATCGGATGACAAGTTAAACGAAGTTTTGAAGAGAATCGCAGTAAACGAATGTTGTACTTTGGTTTACACGGTACGAAAAATGAATTTCCTACAAGAATCGTTCATTCTTAAAATTCGAAGATAACATTATAAAAACAAAAATATCGTATTATTCTTTATCTACAGTCAGGCACTGTTGGAAACCCAAAGGCTGTGATGTTAAGTCATGACAATCTTACACACGAAGTTCGAATGATTACTCGTACTCTTAAATTAAGCGAAGCAAAGGATGTTTTAATTAGTTATTTACCGTTATCTCATGTTGCAGCACAGGTGAACACTATACAATATTTTTATTTGAAACTTATGAAGTTACGTGTTATATTTTTCTTTTTTACTCCAGATAATCGATATATTTTGCGGCATTACTGCAGCCACCACGTTGTACTTTGCGGACAAGAATGCCCTTAAAGGTAGCTTAGTTGATACTCTAGTTGTGGCAAGGCCTACAGTTTTCTTAGGGGTACCTAGAGTGTGGGAGAAGATTTACGAAAAAATGCAAGTTGTTGCACGTAGCAATGGATTTGTTAAAACGTGGATTGCTTCTTGGGCGAAAGCACAAGCACTTCATTATAATTTAAATAAAATGAACGGTACAGACTTCAAGCATTGGGGCTACCTATTTGCCAAGTGGTTAGTTTTTAGCAAAGTAAAGGCTGCACTTGGTTTGGATAGATGTGAATTTTGTGTTACTGGAGCTGCACCCTTAAGTACCGAAATCAAGCAATACTTTTTGAGTTTAGACATTCCAATATATGAGGCATATGGAATGTCTGAATCTACTGGTGCACATACTTTAGGCACAGAGGAAAATTTCAAGTAAATATTTAGCTACTTTTATATATCGCTATTTTATAACAAAAGTTTATAACAGTAATTTTTAACGATTCCCGTGATGTTCAGGCTAGGTAGTGTTGGCAAATCTCTATTGGGATTTGAAACAAAGTTAGATAATGCAGATACTAATGGTGAAGGGGAAATTTGTATGCGTGGAAGACACGTATTTATGGGATATTTAAATGAACCTAAAAAAACTGACGAATGTTTAGATTCAGAGGGATGGTTACATTCCGGTGATTTAGGAAAATTAGACTCAAATGGATTGTTATATGTTACAGGTAAATATTTTTTGAAATACATGTATACATTTATACAATGTTATTTTTAAATAATATCTGCTCTTATGAAATGATGCATATTCCATATAGGGAGAATAAAAGAATTAATTATTACTGCTGGTGGAGAAAATATACCGCCAGTTCATATAGAACAGCTAGTATTAGCTGAATTACCTGCATTAAGTAATGCCCTGTTAATTGGAGATCAACGAAAGTACCTTACTATATTAGTTACTCTAAAGGTAAGATATCCATTAAATCTCTATGTATATATTTGCATTAATATAAATGAAATAAATTTTATTTGTAACGACCTTTTTTGTATATAACTTCAGACTGAAATGGATACTACTACTGGTGAACCAAAAGATGATTTCACTACAGATACATTAAAATGGTTAAGATCCATAGGAAGTAAATCACAAACACTTTCAGATGTTCTCAGTACACATGATCCACTTGTAAGTTTACTAGCATACGTACTAAACAATTTTATTGAATTGGAAACAAATTTTCCTTTTATTACACATTACTAACAAATTTTACATTTTTTTAGGTATATGAAGAAATTGATAATGCAATTAAAAGAGCCAATACTAAAGTTATTAGTAATGCACAAAAAGTACAAAAATTCCAAATTTTGCCACATGACTTTTCAGTTCCCACTGGAGAATTGGGACCAACACTTAAAGTTAAAAGGAGGGTTGTTCATGAAATGTACAAAGATTTGATAGAAGATATGTATAAGTAAATGTACACAAAAGTCCTAATTGTATATTCTAAAAACAACAAATATTTCTAAAGTAAACACAAAATTTACTGCCAATATGCCTGCATAAAATGCTTTAATACTTAAAATAATTGTGAAACTATACAAATTTTATTATTTATTTAAAATTGGCGCATAGTATACTATCTATTGAAACGTACATACTATATATTATAGTATAAATTAGACACAAAATTTTATATATCTTTCCGTATAAAGCTTCTGTAATTTGGTGGTAAAGTTGTTGGTTATTCCTATGTTCATTTTTATGACAATAAAATTTACGCAAATTTTTGTTATACGATTATGTATGGAATTAAAAAATGAAAGGTTGAACATTTCTTAACATAGAATAAGTGCCTTTATGGAAGAAAATTGTATAGATAAAGTCGTTTCATATTGCTATAAACAATAATTCATGCATTATTATTAATGAGAAAAGTACGTAAAATGATAATTTTTGAAACGAACTATATTCATGTTTTTAAATATACACGAATATAATTATACTTAAAAAGTACACGGTTATATTTGATACATTAATATATTATAGTACTTAAATTATATAATGAAACAGGTAATTAATGTATATTGAAAATGTTAAAAACAACCGATGATTTTCTTAAATTTATTATATTTAGTTGAAACACTAGTGAATAAAAAGAATACAAATTTCTTTTAATGTACTTATTAATGTATTATAATGTTTCTTAGGGTAGTTATACTTGGAAGGTAATAATAAAAATTATGTGTACCATTCACATATGATTAAATTATTTTATTTATAAGTGCACTTTTGTTATTCTACTATATTAGTTATTTTAAGTTAATCTTTTGAATATAGGAAAATTCATTATTAAATACACTTCTTATTATTCATACAACAAAATAAATTTATTAAGACTTCTATATGCTTTGACACACACATATGAAAAATAATTAATGATAGTTAATGTGTAAAAGCTTATCTTCATTATCAAGGTAATGGATAGGTAACTAAATAAATATTAGTAAGTTTAAATTGCAATATATTACTAATATAGTTTACAATAACCAAAACAACTGCTATATTTAAGACTGTTTTATGCTACATACAGATTCTTATGACAACCTGACATCTTATAAGAAAATAGTCTTACTAAGCGCATCACAGCAACTTTGGAAATGCAGATCTGTATAATGTCTTATCCTGAAACTCTATTGCATATACAAGTGGTTACATTTACATTGTCCTCTTTCTTCACCAATCTTGTATTCCTAAATATCTAGCTTCATTGCTTATTTATATAACAAATTTTGAAATTCTACTTTCATGCTTGTGGAACTAAGATACAAATTTATTGCTGTTTCTAAACAACAATTCAAACCAAAAGGTGACTGTTGCCTAATTCTTTACACTCCCACTTTTAGTAAACAAAAGATCAAAATTATAATATGTAATACATGATGAATTATCATAAAGTGTCATAATTTCTTTCTTTCTTTTTAGTGCCTTAACGATCTTCAAGTACAACTTTCAAGAAATGCTTTTATGGCACATGGTATATTAAAAGTTATACATATTACTGTGAACATAAACTTTTTACATCAATGCATTGATAATGGACAAGCACTCGAAAAACATTTCGGAAATTAACGTTTTAAAATAATACAATCTATAAAATATAAAGGTATTGGATCATTTAAAAATTCGGATTGTGTATAATCGCACCATATCACTGAAGTGGCAATACTTTTAAAATATTACAAAAGTTTATGAAGTACTTGTTGTGTTAAATTTTTGTTGAATGATAGATGTTTTTCGTTGTGGTACAGTTTCAGGTGTAGGTATAGCATCACCTGTTGGCAAAACACCAGCTGGCTTTGGTTTAGCTGTATATTTTTGTTTTGCCATTTGATAATCCCCAGAATCAAAATATTTTTGCTGAAAGTGTTTTACATACAACTTAGAAAACTTAAATTGTTCTGCTCTTCATTATTTGTTATTGTAATATTTTGGTTATTTTTAAGCATATGGACGTCCAGTGTTTGGAAATTTTGCCCTTAATTTTGCTTCTTCTATTTTTTCAATATCAGTTGAAGATAACTGAAATAAAAGTTATGTTAGATACTTGAATAGTAATCATGTGTACAAATATAATTTTAAACATTATTTAAACAATATTTATTTCATTCAAGCAAACAGAAATGTTAATACGCCGAAAATTGGAGAATTTGTTAAATCAACTTGAATAGAAATTAGAATAATGAATATGATATCATTTCAAGTATGAGATAAATAAAAGACTAAAATTTAAGATAAATCTTACCTCAACTGTTTCACACAGTTCGTTTCCTTGATCGTCGCTCATCGTTGCTGTTTCTAACCACTTTTTCAGTGATTGCTTTTAGAATTTCACAGATATCGTTTGAATACTCGTTTCAACACTACCGTATAAAAGTATGCAGTGCTGTAGCACCGATGCTTTTTAGTTCAACCTGTTTTCGTAAGAAACAAATTTGGTCGGTCACACTTTTATAAACTTTATCGTTACCGAAAACAAATAACTGTCAATAAAAACGTACTCAAAAGACAGCAACAGCGTTTCGTATACGGTCATATGTTTCCAGATAGCCGTTACCGGAATTTGATCTAGGTGCGAATTTCCATGACGTACGGGCGATAAAAATCAATGTTTAAATAACGATTTGTAAATGCATGCCAACATGTTAACTTATATAAGGGAGCTATCATCAAATGTGCTAATAATGTGGTACACATGTGTATTTCCGGTCGATAAAAATAGTTAATATAAAAATTCCATCTCGTTCGGTCTTTTGACGTTTACGTGAAAACGTATCTTAAATTTGTGAACCATTCACTTCAAAATTTGACGAAGTTCCTTTATGGTGAAATGTTACCGCAGATTTCAAGAATGAATTTAATGTATAAGGAATGTGATTATACTGTCTATAAATTAAGGTTATTAATTGAAGAATCAAATTTTAGAATTGATAAAACTTTATGTATTTAGGAACAGTTATAAAAGAGCGCGTTCACAACGGTTTTTTAATGAAATGGGTGCTGGTGTTGAGATTTGACATGGAATATAATAGCGAGGTAAGTTTTGACAGTATGGACGTTTTTTTAACAACTGAAAGTATTAATGAATTTGAAAAATAAAAATACAACAATGTCACGTAATGTTTATAAACAAATTGTAAAAAACAGGTGGAATCATTTTCTCAAAGTGATTCTATCTCAAGCACTGCTTCGAGCGCAAGATATCGTGAAGATATTATTTCATCAGAAGAACGAACGTTGCTGCAATATTTACAAAGAGGACTATTGGAAGCAAGTGAAGAAAATATAACCTTTGCAAAAGAAATATTGCCATTGTTGAAAAAATTAAACTTGGAACCACAATCCTTACCTAATGACATTAAGGAAGGGTTACAAAAAGTAGCTTTAATTTTAAGATGTGAAAAATTGTCCGATTTGGACGATGTTGCATTGAGTATAGTGTGTGAAAGAAAGAAAATAGAGGAAAAGAAACGAGAATACGAGGAAAAACAGTTTGCATTATTGTATGATGATCTTTTTAAAAAGTATGCTATTTTTTCAAGTAAACTTAATTCCTTACAAGAAGCTGTAAGTTCTCTCGAAAGTTTTATTGAAGACAGTCAGAAAAAGCAAGAAGATATGTACTGTAATAATATTTCATTGTCTACAAAATTAGGAGAATATCAACAAACAGTAAAAAAATTAGAATCTGATTTAGTAGATATGCAAATTGAAGATCTTTACCCCCAGAAAATATTAAACAAATATGATAAGTATTTAGAAATGGCAGGTGAACTAGCAGAACTTAATCAATGCCTTCGTCAATATGGTGATTTACCACCAAATTTGCTGCATGCTAAAGCTCTAGTTGAAGTTAAACAAAAGGAATATCATGCTTTGGTAAAAACACTTTTAGAAAAAACAGATTATTGTCTCGAGTGATAATGATAACAATGTTATTAATTTATATGTTTTGTAACTTCTTCACATTTATACAACAATAAAGAGAAAATGTATGTACACTTTTGTACAAGTCTTTATTTAAAAACCATATTTCGATTGTGTCTGTTTTCTTGTCAATCTATTTTGTGCCCATTGGTTCTTCAATTCCATTTCCATTGCTTTAGCTTGATGTGCCAGGTATGTTATTTGATGTTTCTTTTTAGACTGGGAACTTACTCCTCCACCTTGCATAGATACCGGCCTTTGTACAGACTCTTCTGTTAATGCTTTCACTAACCATTCTCTTTCATCTGGTTTAATATCTTCTCCATTTATTTCAATGATATTTACATCCTCAATTTCTTTAGGTTTTCGTTTTACTCCTCTTCTTCCACAAAGGTATTCAATAGCTTTATCATCAAAAGCCACATTGCCTTCTACATCTACATTATATTCCTGTTCAGGTACTGGTAGTTTTGGACCTACTTCTGCCTTATTTTTTAGTAATATTTCTTCTCTTGGTAAATTTATAACATTACTCACTAATGTTTTGTGAGGACTGTTAATGGAGGTTTCAGTTACTGCTGTATCAGAACTATCATCTGGATTGTCACCTGAGTTATTATCTTTGTTCGAATTATTCTCCAGTTCCAAATCCAAATTACTCAAATCTGTGTTACTGTCCAAATCAGACATAGCAATATCTGGAACTGTTTCTGTTGCTGTCAGAGCAAAGAAATCTGTAGTAGAACGACTACTAGTGCTTGTAGCTGCATCATCTTCATCTTCAGAGTTCGAGTCATAGCTTATACCTATGGAACTTTTTAGTGGTACAGATTTTGTTACTCTTTTTATGTCTGAATCTTTCGCATGTGCATCTTTAGCAGGTTGAAGTTTCACTTGATTGGTTTTTGCAGCAGCTTTATTAACAACACTAGGTACTAAATTCTTAGTAGCTTTCACTTCGATTCCTTTAGGTGGTGGCAAGAGTGCAAATAATTTAGTACCTTTCTAAAATGATAGACAAAAGTTAAATCATACGTTACACATTGCAGACTTACACATATAAATCTGTACACTTACATTCGAAGGTTTAATTTTATCGGACTTTGTCTCTTTTTCCTCTTCAAGATCTTTAAACTATAATTGAAATAATATATTAATTTATGCAATAAAGAAGAAAGGAAATGTGGGTACAGCTAACAATTTGTCTTACTTCGGATAAAGAAGGCACTGTTATTTTAACTGGCGCGCGATCTTTTTTTGTCGATTTCTCAGGTTTTAATTCAATCTCTTTTTGCGGAGGGATATCGTCCTCTTCGATAGTTTCCGTTTCGATTATTAAACTTTTAGGTTTAGGTAATTTATCAAAATGTATTTTTTCTGGCAAGTCATTTGCTTCGACTGTCTCTGTGTCATCGATATCACGAACTTTTTCTACGAGAGTATCATGTTTCGGAGTAGGTAAACACAATTTATCATTTGTTTTTTGTATCGCAACCTCTGGCGCAATTTCGTTTTCACTTTTCGCTTCACAGTTAATACCTTCGTCTTCAGAACTTTCATCGCTACTTCCATATGCGACAAGACTCATTTTCGAAGAAAGGAATACTGTTTATTTGAATAGAACAATCGTATCGTACAACATACACGTCAAATATATAACCTCAATACCAGATTGACACTTGTACAACGCACAAAGTTGTCTTAACTGATATTAAAGGTCCCTAAACTATCTGTACCACGAGTTATTGCATCAAGATACAACAGATATCTGTAATTAACCGATACCTCCGAAGCTAATAACAAAGACCCTTCTCAAGTCACGAAACAGATGGCAGTAACATTATCGTTTGAGTATTTCTTTACCCAGTGCTTATGAAAACTATTTAACACTCGTTAGATACATTTTCCACATCGTACAAAGAAAAAAAAAGAACGAACCCCAGTTACGACTTAGAAACTTAAATACAAATCAACCACGCGTTACCACTGTCAACCCAAATTGCTCTTCCTAAAGATACTCAAATAGAACTTCCTTAAAAGAAGGAAGCAAAAAAGGAAAAAGAAAAACATAATACCCTAAGAAAACACTAGAAAGCAGCAACGTCGCTCCATTAAAATTCACCACGCTTTCTCGCGTATATACCACGAAGGGTAACAGATGCCCAAATTTCATCCCCGCAATTAATTCCCCAAATACATACGTACATAATCGAGGAAGACGGGTTCCTCGGCAAACAAGAGGTGACGCAGACGCGACGAAGAAAGGGAGAAAGAAAAAGAGCAGGAGAACCGGCGAGGAAAGAAAGGAAAGGAAAGAGAAAAGAAGAAAAATTGGGAATCAGTGGCCTCGAAGCAACCACGGCACAACTCACTCTATCCGTATATGCGGAGGTTGGCGACGAGGAGGGATCACCCCCGACCCTGATTCGCTCGTCTGAAAACCTTGCTCTTTTACGCAATTTTAGCGTTTATTAAAGTTTGCTCGCAAATGAAACGAAGCCCATATAACCTACCTAATTTAGCGAGTAGCATTTTCGAGTGGGGGCCACTCCAGGAGAGGAGGAGAGGCCGGGTTCTATTGACAGCGGTTATTGCCTAACTGCGTGCCTCCACCTAATATGCCCGCTCGGGGATTCGCATGCAGGGCCGCTCGAACGAAAACTGCGAAACACGCCTGTGAATCTTTAATTCCGCCGGTGGTAATCCAGCATCCCTCTCTTCCCTGGCTGCACACTCCCTCCCCCTTTCCACACCCTACCACCCCAGTCAGCCGGCCTATTCGAGCTTGATTTTTCCCTGGGTTCGCGAGAGGCGAGCCGTGTATCGTATGGGAATTCTTTATCGTCCGTTTGCAAACGAACCCCCGGCATCGTGCTGACTTTTCATTTATACGATCGTCGATACCTGCATTACGCATTGATTTCATCCTTTTTTTTCTTCTTCTTCTTCTTTTTTCCCCTTTTCTTCGATCACGTGTGTGTGTGTGTGTGCGTCTGAGCGCGATTTCCTCCCCCCTCCCCCCTTCTTTCTATCTCGATCTACCATTTTGCCCTTTTCTCTCTCTGTATTTTCGATTTTAACAACGACGTTGTTTCGCTTCAAAAGTACATACTCGACTTCTTTTTCCCTGCGCACGTACGCCGTTCCATCATCACTCCTGCTGTTTCCTTTTTTTTTTTTTTTTTTCATTTTTATATATTTTTCCCCCTTTTTTCCCTCTGTTTTTCGTTAATTTCGCGCTCCCTCGTCATCGTATAAATTTTTGATGGAATATCCGGCCAAAGTGCACCGGCGCCACGAGAGGTTCATTTAGTTATCAGTTATGAAAAAGTATTATTTTTTCGTATCATTTTTATGCCCGTCCTTTTTTTCGCCCCGTTGTTTTTCGGAACGCGCGCGCCAAATAACTTGATCCTTTATCCTAGCGATCGAGTGTCATCGTCGTGTGTCGCGATACGTGCACGATCGATCGTTGCGAAAAACAAAAAACAAACAAAAAAATACGCGTGTCTGAGAGTCACTCGAAGCGATTACCATATATTTCACCCTTTCTCTCCCTCTTTTTTCTCTCGTCCTATTTTTTCCTCCCTCTTTCGAGTATCTTAGATCGCCGATACTACACGAATCCTCGATCGGTCACGTCTCTTCTCCCCGGAGAAATAAATCTTCGCGTTCGGCAGATATTCGGAGAAACGAGACTCGACGATCGAACAACACACACACACACACACACACATACAGCTCGTGGAAATTTTTCTTTGTCTAGCCCGAGCGTGCAGCACCGGTCGCGAGCGGATGCGAAAGCAAATGACGGCCCTGCCTGCATTTGAAACTCTGTTAACTCTCCGAATATTAGCTCGTCGAGCGAGATTAACCCCATTGTACCCCGTTGAAAATGATGACATCACCATTAAACTCCCGTCGGCTTACGGAAATTGATTAAACTATCAAATTAGCTCTACTAATATCAACACATCAACGTGGAGCGCCGTGTGTCTGGCTACGGAGGTTTAAACCCCTCGACGACTACGACGTCGAGCGTCGCCGAGCGGCGGCGACGACGACGACGACGTTGAATTTACGTGTCCAACGATCAGTTCGACGTGTATTCATCGGTCTGATTATATTTCCTATGAGGTCTGCAATCACGGAGTCTGCGACATGCGCGTTCGATTTGGAAGGAACAAGCTTAATACCAATAACACCGAGGAGGGTTGCGTGAGATCTCGCGAATCGCACAAGCGGAGAATCGTTTCGACGGTGAAACTTAAACGTTCAAATAATTCGTTTAAAACTTTCCTACGGCGAATTTTCTCCAATTCAACTTTCCCACCGTGTATATCGTACCTCTGTGTACACACACGGAAATTCGTTTAACTTGAAGTTTAAATTAACCAACTTTCCCTGGAATGTTTCCAATTCGCCTATTCATCGTTGTAACGTTCGAGCAAACGAAGGCTCTCTCACCGATCGTAGATTACGCGACAGCGTTAACGCCCTGATCCTTATTCTTCTTGGAGAGAAGAAAGAAAAATCGTTAAATAATGATTACGCGTTGAATGATACACGAAAATCCTGTGATTTATCGTGGCGAAGAGGAACGCGCGTACCCAAACGTTCCCCATTCAACGATCTATAGAAACAATAGAGCGGTCGAAGTAGTCCAAGAAGGTTCCTCTAATCCACTTACCCTCTAACCTCGTAATCCTCGAACAAGTAGTTATCGTAGCAGTGCTGTTTCGACGAACCATGGGTTTGCGCTCTTTTCACCTTACCGTAGACTTTTCACGTCCCGAAATCCGATTATACCTGGCACATTAGCGCGATTGACGCGATACTTAAAAGATTTCTCGATAAACCAAGAGGGGGAGAGAGGGAACGTAAAGTCCGCCTCTAATCGACTTCTGTTCTACCAATGAACGGGGAGACACGTGATTCTAGGAACGTGTACACCTATCTCCTCGCGTTACACCATAAGGAAACGTGCCTCTGTGTCGGAGCGTCCCTTTACATCCAGCATCCAGGAACTACGGAGCGTTAGATGTACTGTCAAGGGAAGTGTGAACAATTTCGTGCATTGTCGAGACTATAATATGGATGGCTGGCAGGATAATTATTGGAGGCCGTTTGAATCTAACTGTTTCCTTCATTAGCAGTCTCAGTTCGCTCGACTGTCTCTCCCTCTCTCTCCCTTCGTCTACACCCACCCCCTCTGTCGCTCACTCTCGTTCACTCTCTCTCACTCTTTCTCCAGTTTCTCTCTCTCTCTCTCGCTCACACTCTATCTGAATTTTGTGCAGAATTACCCACCATTATCATAATTGCGCTATTACCGATAATATCTGCGACTCAGCTTCGAAACTGTACCTCGATGCTCTTAATCCATTTTCTATTTGGACAGCGGGCTTTCGGTGGACGAGAAGTCGCAAATTCCGTTGCGTAATTTCCGCCCCATTGAGCGTCTCTCTTAGGTATGGAATTATATGTTTCGCCTACGGACTAGCCGGGGTGGATCGGCGAGGCCGATTGCCAGCGCGAAAACCAAGCTTTCGCCCAGGGTTCCAGAGTGCATCGATTAAAAGAAACTCGTTCACCTTCGTGGTTATCGTTTCTATCACGAATTTCGATGTACGTGTGCACAGGGTGGAGGAACATTTCTCGGTGTCTACCTCGATTTTTCTTTATCGCTTTAAAAAAATTCTACAATAATATATTTCGGAAAATTCTCCAATTTTTCTGCGTAACGTTTGCGACGTCGACGTAACACGGGCGGAGGAAATTCAGCGAATTTACGTTAGGGTCGAAAACCGGGGAGATCGTCGAGATCTTCGACGTATCGATTCTTCGTATTCCTCGTTGGCAATTAGGCGGGACAGCAGGTGGTAAGCTGAACGTGACAGTTTTTAGTGGGGCGGAAGAACGGAGGGTTACCTCAATGCCACAAATAAATCCCGACTCTATTATTGTTCGTAACGAGACCGGTCACCGCGTGTCCGGTGGGTGGATGGCCCTGTGTAACGTTTTCGCTAACGTTCGCCCCTTGGCTTGCGTGCACCCGCGATTCAGCTCTCTAATTGTTCGTTCTGCGAAACCCACGAGAACTGCCTTAATATTAAGAGTATTAAGAGGCCCTTAATCCGTATTGTTCTCGGGTACGCGTAATTGCTTCACGGTAATGGATTACGAATTACGCGAAACGCTTTTACCTACACTTGGTGTAAATTTAACTTTCAGCCAGAGACTTACTCGGGATCGAAATATACCTATATATATATATATCCACTTTGTTTTGTTATCCATCAAAATTTATTTTCATTTCGAAATACACGAACTCACGGGCGGCTCTTATTACCCCTTTCCGTAAGGGATCCGTGTTACGCTTAATCGGATTGCAAAGTTTCTATATACACACACACACACACCCTTGTACGATCTTCTCCTCTCTCGTCTCCTTCCATTGGAAAGAAAGAAAGAAAAAAGGTAGAAAGGAAATGGAAAAAAATTAATACCTTCCCGATGTCGTGATTGCAACTTATCTCGTTAAATTCCTCCCGTTTCTTCGACGGGACTACGGAAAGAGTAACCGGTAGAGAATACGAAGGCGAAGCATCGGATAGAAAGGTAC